AGATCGTCAGCAGTGTCTGCACAGGGCTGGTTGGGGGCCCTGGCCTCATGGCCACATGTGCACTGTGTGTTTGAAACACCTACAAGGGATACTCAAGAGTAGCTAGGAGTATCACCAACCTCACAGCTATGCAGCTGGCAAGTTGCATGATGCTCAACCACCTCAAGCTACACTCCTAGGCCACCACCATCCACAAGGCCATCTTGGCGCCTGTGGACAGTGAAAACATGCACACNAGCATTATAGAGAGTGAAAGCAGAGAATAACAGCTTAGTGGCCTGAGATTCAGAGGAGGTCACTATATGTGTTTATTTGTACATGCCTACCATATCTTTAAAAGAATATATAAGAAACTAATAATGTTGATTGCCTCTGCGTGGCATTCCTTTTATAAGTTTTAGGTTGTGAGCTATATGAATACATTGTGTTAACGCTGTTAGTGATTGGGAAGTGCCACAATAGAGCCACACTTCCCAGTGGGAGCTCTCATCAGGCTGGCCTGGAGGAAAGTACACTCTTCAGAGGAGACTAGGAGAGAATGCTCAGTGAAGGCTTCACGGGTGTTTGTCCACATGGCACACAGGTCCAAAAGGCATCGCAAAATAGTAGCCTCTTAAAAGTGATATTGTGCTTATGGTGTCCCATTTTAAAATTAATCTACTCAATAGTTTTTAGACTGAAAACACTCAACCAGTTTCAAAAATCCAATTTAAAGTTTCCTTTTTATTTTTCAAGAGAATATGGAGTCCAGGCTGAAATAGCTCCCAGAAGCAATATTCTTTACTGTGTACAATAAATCATCAGGTTTCTATCCCATTAGTAAGCTAAGAGTTTGGCAGAAGATAATGCAGTGTTCTCTTGAGAGTAAAGATTCTTGTTAACTTATATTCTTATCTTTTCTAAAAGTTTATGGCTTTTTTATTGTTGATGATGCTCTTAAAAGGATAGTATCCTCCACTTAAACAAGAGAGTTGGGATGTTTTTCTTTTATTTATCCTAATGAAATCTAATGTATGCATTGCTGAATAGTGACTGTAGAGGTTGACAAGCCCCACAGAAGATGAACAAAAATAAACGGAGCCATAGAAAGCACTAGAGCAAACATCTAGCTTTCTTAGCCAGTATTATTTGAGACTGGCTAAACACAATATTATTTTGCTTTGAGCAATCTTTCTCCTTCCTCTCCTACCTTCATTCTATCCTCCATAACTCGATAGGAAGCAACCTAGACATCACTGAGAATAAAATAATTCTAGTT